AATTTGATACAACATTACAATGAGATGATAATTTGACAAAGCAAAGAGCTCTGGTGCTGCAACAACAAAGCAGTAGATCGTCATTGTTACAACAGTAGATGACCGATCTGATAAAATACTGAGCTGCTTCTCTCACACATATATAATCTGTGCTAAATTGCTGGAGTTAAAAAACAATGCGTGGTTTTAATTATAACTCGGAATACGCCCTGCCACTCTTACTATTGCTAGGATTGTCAAGACTGGCCGAACAGACCTTGCAAACATCCGAAATTTCTCATGTTAGCTGGAAAGCAAAGCGTAGCTGAATCAAGCCTTTACTCTCTCAATTTTCACGAAACTCACAATTTTCACGAAATTAGTATGCATTTAAAAAATTTTTTTAATCATTCATTGGCGTTCGCGCACAGAGATGAAATGCTGCTGCAGCTTCGACATGTAAAATGAACAATAAGTAAGCAACCCTACGCCTGGGCTCTCCGGAAAAAATCGCAAAATTGTTTTTTGAAATCTTTTACTCATTGATAGTAGGTTGAAATTAAGTGATCAACTGACAACAATAACTGTTAAAACAAAAAAAAGCTAAAAAGATTGTATAGCAAAAGAACAGAGAGCCTAGAACTCAACTGCCCGTCTTTAATTTCCTCGTTTTCCCCAATTTATACTGTTCCTGCTATTCACTTCTACTGCCACAGTGTGCCGTACTTCTGGAAAAGCTGGAGTTCCTAAAATGGTCCCTTTGCGGATTACTAGACGAAGCGATATCTCGCACTGATAGTTAACTTAACAGAGAAATTATGACAGATTAAATCATAGTACCACAGGTTTAAAATGAACCTACTTATTTACCTAGTCATTTACCATTTTCCTTTAATAAGCAATCGTATCACTATAGCGAACTTAATTGGTCTGAGTCGAAGCCGACATGAAAAACAATCGGCCAGAATATCTCGGCTTCTTGCGTTGCTATTATTATTTTAAAACATTTAATAATTATAAATTCAATGAATTTCGCATAAAATCTGCACCGTTGTGTCGGATTAAATTAAATAGTGCAACAATATCAAGGCCACCTTTGCTATCAATGCGAGTATGCCATGTTCATTAATACTGGCGCATGCTGCACTCAGCTCTTCCACGCTCTTCAGCCTTGGGCCACATACTTCTAGTTAATACTGACCGCTCACTGGATGTACACGCGCCTACGTTTTCAGGGGCGCCCAAGTAGTGGCTTTTTTGATGAAATGTTAATACTCGATTATCATATATATGTCCCGAAATTCAGCAATCTTTTGGACGATGTGTTCAGATGATCTCATTTTTTCCTCATTTATTTTTTCCGTTTCATTCTTGTGCTATTAAGACTGGTTGCTACACCCAGGCTTGACTGAACGAGAAAGCAATTAAACCGAGCGAGCAGCTTCCTGGACGTTCCATTTCCCATTCGATAAATACTTTTCCCCCCATTCGCTCCGTCCGTCCTCCACACTCCTCGCTCCCCATCGTTCTTGCAGAGGAATAAATGACAATTAGTTATATATGCACTACAGTGCTAAGCAAAACGTGAACACTGGAAGCCCAACTTTCAACTTTAACCTTTTCAAATTTGATACAAAAAGCCAACATTTTACAAACAAAAATTATAGTGCAACCGTATTATTTTAAAACTCCAGTTTTTTTGTGAAGAAATACAATTTCTTTCAGTTATCTATCTACCCTTGCAATCGTATGCACGCACGCCTTTTACCCTTGGCTATCGAATCAATTCGAAACGAACTTATAAAGGTATTCTTTGTGCCTCAAGAATATTCGCGCTTTTTATTCCACTCTAGAACATCATTTCTTTCTAAACTAATTTAATTCAATTTTGTCTCACACCGATGCATGCACTAAGCACGTTTTGTCAGTATTTTGGGACAGTTAACAACGACCTTTACAAAACTTCCACAAATTCAGCCCACTGTCCGTCATTCTGAAGAATTAATTAACTAATCCAGTCCCGCCAGCACTATGCACATTAATTACTAACCGAATCAGTGTCAGAATCGCAAATGAGTATGTTTAGGATTGTGAGATCGTAAATCTTCCTCTGATGTCAGCCCAACAGTTGTTAGTGATGGAACGTGGACTGCATTACTGATGCTTAAAAGTTACAAAAATTTGCAATTTTATTTGAAACTGTTTCACCACGATACGCAGAGTGATACTCCGAGGCTTCGCTCAGCGACAATACGGTTCAA